CATTTCTTGAATTTCTAAGGAAACTTGGTCGAAAAGTCTATTCAAAATTTTATTTTGGATATAAAAACCTTCATTTTTCTAATTATTTTTCATTATTGTATACATTTTCAAAAGTAATTATTAGATCTAATGTATTAATTTATTTAACAATCCCACTTAATCGCTAAACCACTCTTCAGATTCTTAATTTGAAAATTAAAACAAAACTTTTAATAATTTATAGTATTGATTTAACAAATTTTGATCGGTTTTAAGTTTGATATTATTGACCGAAATTAGTCCATATAGTTATAATTCCAAATGAAGTAGATATCCCTTCATAATAATGTCACCATTCAAAAAAAGGTTTGGGTCGCAACTCTATTTATAAAAGCAAATTTAACCGCGAGTAAATTTTCCGTAAATATGAAGAATGAATACGGATCCGATAAATGCAAGTGCAAGAACGACAACAACGACTGGATCTCTGTTATGTTAGAGTAAATGAGTAATAAATTATTTTAAAGTATACATTTGAATTCGTTTATTAATTGAAGAACTTACACTTTTAAGCCTGGGGCATCATCAGTGTACAACTTCATCATGGTTGAAGAACTACCGCCAGAACGTGAAACTGTTTTATTCCCACCCGGCGACGTTGTACGTCTCCTGTGAAATGAATTTTTTTAACATTTCAATGAAATAATTCGACTAAAAAAGTATCTTTCGCAAAAATTATAGAAATGGAAATTCTATAATAATTCAAAATTTCAATTATGATAGAGATTAAGCTTACCTAATAGAACCTTTGGGATTTCCAGATTGGACAACGTCCTATGTAGTAAGTGTCAATATTGTCATTAAGCAAAAGAGAAAAAAAAATAATAATTCTATGATAATATTAAATACATACCGCCATATTGTTTTGTGAGGTGTAGTTAAAAAAAGTGTTAAAATGAGAGACTAGTGTTCAGTGAAGATCTAGATACAGAGTGGGGTTTTGTATATTTCGATATTAAACACGAGTCTTTTCTTCATTGGTGAGTGACAGTTTATAGATCTACTTTTATAGGTTACCTTTCTTCTGATTGGTCAATTACTTACAGTTTTTATTTATATATATATGTAACGGTAATATTTCACAAATAAAAAATTTAATGCTTTCTTTACAAAAAGAACCAAAAACCTTGAGGCACTTACTTAGAAACGAAATAATAATAAGATAATAAGGCCACACTGGGGTTCGAGGCACGGGCATGCCCATAGAAGGCGGCCATTTATGCCCTAGTCATATGATATTTGTGCCACATCTGATTGGTCAGCATGGTTAGAAGTAATCAGAAATGTAGATAATAATCGTATAATATTTCAGATCCCTTTAAATGTAGACCATTTTTTTAACCTTTGATCAAAGATATCTCGGCATTCACCTAACTAAATTTGATGAACTTTTTTTATTTTAATTGTAGAAGATAGCGGAATTTAAAAAAAAGTTCATTGAATTTATTTGGGTGAGTTTCGAGATATCTTCAATCAAAGTTTAAAAACAATTCTTGGCACAACTATTTGATAGACGTTTAAAATTTTGCAAGAACTTTGATCAAAGATATATCAGCACCCACCTTACCAAATTCGATGAACTTTTTTTTATTTTAATTGTAAAAGATAGCAAAAAAGTTCGTTGAATTTGGTTGATTAGATGTCGAGATATTTTAAATCAAAGTTTAAAAAAATTAAAATGATCTACATTAACGGGAATAAAGCGCTACGTAGTTATGTTTGAATTTCTTCCTGCATGCATTAGTAGCAAGTTTAGGCAGGTTTAACTTCAAAGCGCTTGAAATTACAACTTCAGCAGTTGCATAAATGGTTAACTGGTCTTACGCATCTCTGAATCAAATTCCCGAATCTGATATGAAACATAAACAAAAAATATATACTACGTATAAGGGTCGAGTAATAAATAGATAATATAGTAAGTACATATATAATATAATGTATTTAGAGCATTTATTGTCATGCGTTGTAGTTAGACTCATTTATAAGTGCACGTTTTTATACGTGCACTGACGAGTGCACTTATATATAAATTTTTAACACAGATGAACCATGATTCTTTGTATTTCATTTACTGTTTTTAAAGAATTGCCTTAAAAATTCGGCTTCTTTTGCCATTTCTTCTAAACTTCTAGATACTCTTTCTTCATTATCAATTTTTGTTGATTTGTCAATATCTTTATATATGTCATCATTATTTGCGTAATCACCAGCTTTCCGTGGAATTAAATGAACATGACAATGTGGTACCTGTAAGAACATAATAAGCTAACAGCATTTATAAAGACAAAAAAATAGAATGCATTTCATGAATTTACCGTTTGTCCTGCTTCTGGTCCATCCTGTTTTCATAAATTATGTTTTACTTATATAATCATAAAAAAAAAAAAAAAAAAGATAAAAGTTAATGTTTTAACCAACCTGTATAGCTATGGTCAGCGATGTGGCATGATATTCTCGTTCAATAACTTTACCAATTGTTTGAGCACTTGAAAATAAATCACTTATCTATAAAAAAAATTAATAATTTAAAAGATGTTTACTAATTTATTTCAACATTTAAATATTATATCTACCTCTTCGAAAGTCAACTCACTAAATCTAGGAACTACTCGAAACGGCGCGACTAAAACGTCTAAAGAAAATATGTTTGTTGAATATGATAGATAAATTAAAATGATAAAATATGTTAAAAAACTTACGCCCACTAGTAAAATAATATTTATTATACATAGTTGTTATAGATGGAATGTCTTAAACAAAAAAAAAAGATACTTACGGAAGAACTGGCTTCAAATTAACAAAAGCGAAACATAATTTCGAGAAATGAAAGATTTCGCTTGAACGTATTAAATGTGGCCCAAATGCATATGTCATTTTTAAAAGAACATAATGTGCACCTGGAGAAGGTGCGCATTTATATAGAATTAGTATGGCAGTCAAAAATGTAGTTTACCCAAAAAAGGAATTAAGTTTAGATTAGAGGTTAGATCTAGACATATGGGATCTTTGCTAGGAAAATGAAGGTTTTTATATCCAAAATAAAATTTTGAATAGACTTTTCGACCAAGTTTCCTTAGAAATTCAAGAAATG